AGAGGCTGGACATGGAGTATTCACATACTCTGTTATTTTTGCAGATCGGGTGGGAGAGTTTGTGAGGTCGAACCCAGGAAGATAGGTCTAAAGGCAGAGGCGGGGAGTCAGCCCCCTAAACTCCTAGCTGCGAACGGCCAGCCCCAACGTGTTCGGAGACGCGGGGCGCGGCTGGGCGCCCACGTCCACGCCGCAGTGCGCTTGCGCGCCGGCTGGGCAGCACCTGCGTCGGAGCCCGCGGGACGGGGACGCTAGCCGGAGTTCGGCCGGGCAGCGACGCGCCCGGCCTCACCTGCGCCAGCTGGGGCCCCAGTGCCAGTTTTGAAAGCACCTTAATGTGCACCTGCAGCGGGGATATGGCGAACCCCAGGATATACTCTCTCCCATTCACACTTTCGAGTAACCATTTTAGAGAAACAAGTACCTTTCTCCATATCTGAGATAGTATTTGAGGGGGAACTAGTCAGATACTGGAGTAGAGTGCGTGAGGAAATTTTACGGTCTTGGCTTACCAGCTGCGGGAACTTACTTCGGATGCTTTTTATTTACATCGAGGTTAGTCTGCGACGGTTCGTACATGCCTCTGTTTAACCACCAAGGGGGTTACATAATCAGAGGGAAACCATTTTATTGACTAAACTTCTGGACGCTTTTTATTTACATCGAGGCTAATCTGCGACAGTTTAGGAATGCCTTTAACCACTAAAGGGGGTTTACGCATTGGACGGAAACCACCTTCCTCATTGTTAATATTGGCCTTGCCATAGTAAGCTGTCATTTACAACTACAGCACGTATTTGTGACTTAATGGAGTTACAGGTTTATGTCACTAATCACAGTTTTGACACTTTACAGTTGACACAACATTAAATCTCAACAAATTATATAAAGCATAAACTTGCACTTTTCCCTTCCTAGGTTCCTGATTTCTCCCACCTATAAAACATTAGGTTCAATATGAATAGTAAAAGAGCACTTTATGGCTGTAGGTGGAATACTGTTACCTTTAACATGCGTTATTTACGGCATGAAATACAGAGATCCACTAAAAATTTCACCAACTCTGCCATCTCTTCAAGTCATTGAGTTCTCATTTTACTGTCAAATAAAGTCCATTAGTATTGATGGTAATGGCAATTGCTATTTCTATAGCAGTTTCTATAGTGCCTCACTTCAGAATTGAAACGTAGCTAATCTTTAATTTGCTCAAGCAAATTAACCATAATTTGTGGCAACTACACGTACAACCTTATTAAAATCACTGAATATATGAAAGATTCATAAGGCATTGGCTACACTCGGTGGGACACTACCTGTAGAAGAGCTCATTGTAGAATTCAGCTGCAAAAACATTTAATGAAGCCCCTATTTATACGTGGTAAATGAGATTAGCTATAACTTAATTTTCCTTTTCAGTGTGAAACTAGAAATGTAAATCAAGACATAATCATTATAGATATTACGGATAATGGTCTCAAGAAAAGTCTGAAGAAAACCATATCTACAAGCTAGTAGGTTAGTAAGCTGCTAATTAAGACTTTTAATTGTATATCCCTGTCTTTTGTTGGCTCAAGTCCTGGAATCCATCTTCAGCAAATGGGTAAAATACCTGTTTTCAGAATAGGACCAAACAGTCAAGGACTGCAAGCATTAAACCTCAGTCTTAGCCAAAGTTAAGCAGGCACTTAAAGTGTGCATACAATTGACTTTTTTTTTTTTTTTTAAGTTTATTTGACAGAGAGAGAGAGAGAGACACACCACGCGTGGGGAAGGGGCAGAGGGACTGTCAACACGGAGCCTGCTGGGGGGCCCAACCCACCAAACCAAATCGTGAGATCACGAACCAAGAGTCAGATGCTTAACACACTGAGCCACCCAGGCTCTCCACAGTTGACTCTCGAACAACATGGGTTTGAACTGCATGGGTCTACTCATACAGAACTTTTTTTGAGAAGTTCCGTATTAAAATGTATTTTATTTTTAACCTTTTCTGTAACTTTATTATAATACAGTATATATAATACATATAACATAGAAAATATGTGTTAATCAACTATGTTACCACTCAACAGTAGGCTATTAAGTTTTGGGGGAGTCAAAAGTTACATGAGGATTTTCAATTTGGAGAGAGGTGGGTTGGTGCTCCAACTTCCTTCCACTCCCTCGCACTGTTCAAGAGTCAACTGTATTTGGTATCTGTGTCAGAAGCCATTCTGCAAAATTTACCTTCCCACCAACGTACTTAGTTCTTCACAACTTTAGAATCAACTATCTTTGTTTTGCTACATTACATCCAGATATATCAGATCATTCAAAAACTCCTGCCGTATTTTAGGAAGATGAATGTAATAAAAGTATAATCTCAGATCATAGCTTATCATATGACTTAGTCTATATGTAATACCTTTGCAGTGAAAACTCTTACATAACTGTTATTATGTGCTGTAGGATTTTCTGGAGCAGTGACCCCATCCAGTTACAGCAAGTAATTCTGAGCAATCAGTAGCTTTCACTACCAACTTTCAGTAGTTGCTACAAAAAAACTGGTACTAGATCCTTTGTCATTAGGGAGAATGATACATTGATTTATTTTTATTATTAAACAATAGTAAGATTTCCTCCTCAAATACCCTTTTTAAAAAAAAGCAGAGCTAGGAACTGAGAAGAGGAAATGAGGGAGCAAGTGATAGTAAACACACAAATGATGCCTAACTCTCCCTACAGGTTTGAGAAATAGACCAGGATACAGCAGTCATCTCTGAAAACTGGCAAGGAAATTTTAATCAGTGTGTTCATATACATTTTGAAACCATGTTGGATTACTGTAATAAAATTTTACCTGGCAGGTGTTTTTTTTTTTTTTTTTTTTTTTTTTTTTTAACTTTTTTTTTCAACGTTTATTTATTTTTGGGACAGAGAAAGACAGAGCATGAACGGGGGAGGGGCAGAGAGAGAGGGAGACACAGAATCGGAAACAGGCTCCAGGCTCTGAGCCATCAGCCCAGAGCCTGATGCGGGGCTCGAACTCACGGACCGCGAGATCGTGACCTGGCTGAAGTCGGACGCTTAACCGACTGCGCCACCCAGGCGCCCCAGGCAGGTGTTTTTAAAAGCTAATCAGGAAACTATCATTTAAACCGGTATTCTTATATTAAAATTGATACAATTTTTAAGAGAAATAGGCAAAAAGATTAAGCAAGACTCAAAATCCTAATATATACTGATACAATACAATGTAACTGATGATGTAAGAACTACAGAATATGTTTTGATAATGGTATAATATTATGTAATTATAATGACTGAAAGTTAATTTTCTAGTTCTAAAATATTACATAAAAATTGATAATCAGTGCATATCCTTAATATGTCTTTGTTTTTTCACCCAGTATCTGAAGCTTCCCCACTCCTAACTTTTTTCCGAGTAAAAACAAAACAAAACAAAAAATGTCAACATAGAAGGCATTTTTACAAAATTCAGTAGAAAATCAAGAGGATAGAAGAGAGGTATTTTCATTGTGTTACCTTTCTATGCCATTTGTGTAACTACTGTTATTGTTTACCCTCTCAGGTAAAAATAAAAACAAATTTTTAAAGATCTTCTTGAAAATAATGATATTTTTAAGCATCATAATTACTATTAGTGACTGATTAATCTGTCATAAGAGCAGCCAAACAATGACTTTGAGAAATTCTGAAACAAGCTATAAACATTTTTTTTCAACTTGCAACTAATGTACAATAGCTAGTTTCTTGAACTGGATATAATAACACACAAAAGGTTTTATCCTTTGTTCTACGTGGAAATATGCATTCAACCAGAGTCTATTTTGTTTATTGACTGCTCTTTCCAACTCAGACTGTATGTGCAGTATACAATAATATCAAAGTATTTTCTACCTTCCTTTTATAAAAATGATAAACAGTACTTCTAGAGACAACTACTTTATCCTCCTTACACCTACAGTCTGCTTGAGGTGTCACTTACCAGTTGGAAATACAGTAAAAACTGTATGCTGTAAATATAAAAATGTTTTCTGTAGAACAACCATTTTAAAACTTGGCTATAGCTAAAGATGGAAAAGCAAAATATATGTGAAATTCACAATAACCTAATATTATTGATAAAAGTGACCTGGCATTTGAAAATGGAAATACTGGAATGACTGTTAACTAGATTATGAGATACTGTCTTCAGAGTTAGCCATAGATAGCAAAAGACTTTAAAATGGTACTATTAACATGACACTCATAGCAGCTAGTTGCTAGGTATACACCATGAAATGAACAAATAATATAAAAAGTTTATGTAGATAGAAGATTCATGTTTTATTCCTCCTGGAACATATTTACAGTTGAATATAAATTAAAGTCCTGCTTGCACACCAAAGCCAGGTCCTTTGGGTGGTTCAGTCAAAGAGGTAAGACCTCCAGCTGGCTCACAAGAGAAGCGTCCACTCCTGAAAAGAAAAGTAACATTAACTTGACTATTAATAACTACCATTTATAAATCTTTACTTAAGAAAATAACTGTTACCTTACAAAGCCCAGTTAGGTAACTATTTTTCACCCAAGAATTAGCATGGATTATTTAATTCAAACATTTCAACTGCTGCAAGATTTTCTAAACTTAAGTATGAAAATGGACATATCCAAAACTCACCATAAATATGAAAGATATAAAAGTAACACGTTACTAGTAGTTCCCATTTATTGAAGAGCATACATATATTATTAGCTCATTTAATCTTTAGAACAATGCCATGAATCAAATGATACTGGCCTTATTTTACAGATATAGAAACCAAGGCTTAGAGATCAGCATCTGCCCAAGGATCAGAGCTAAGAACTGCAACATAACAAACCCAGAGGACATTTTATTCTTTTTATATTTGAATTTTATTTAAACTGAATTATATTTTAAATTGAGATCTACCATAGTGAACAGAAGGGAAAACAAATTTATACATATGTTTGGAAGTCAACAGAGGAATTGGAAGGAAATGGGAAACTGAAGATTTAGGAGGGTATCCTTTAGGGGCAGTGAAAACAAAGTATATTTCTATTCATGTTTTTAAAAGCTCTATCAGTAGTAGTAACTTTTCAAAAACAGGTTCCAGACTAAGGTGGTTACCACAGCCACAAAGAAAACAAGAACAGGTCCTTAATGCAGCACAGAGGTAGAAGAACCTGTCTTTTTTTCACCCCCACACATACTTTCCCAAGTAATCACTCAACTCTGCCCCTGTCTGACCTCCATTGCTAGAGCCCAGCTCAGCACCTCCTCCTACTTCACCCTTCCTATTCCCTAGCTTTGTCAATTTACCTTGTTCCTGCCATATATTTTAGCTAAAGAACTGTTCAATTTATATCTTTTTACTCCTTGCTTTGCCCTTTAAATTCTGTCATCAATCTTACAAGGGTCTTTTTACAGCCACAGGAAATTATTTTTTGTTCAGGGGACAGGACAATGATACCACGTTAATAATGTTATGATCTTTTAAGATATTACATTACACAGTGCAAGTAACTAAGTAGTATATTGTAATGAAGAGTGCCTACAAAGTCAGAAATTAAGTATTATTTGCATTACAAGTTCACTGTGAAAATGAGATAAAAAAACAGTCACTATTGGGTCGTGTGAGTGGCTCAGTCAGTTAAGTGTTCAATTCTTGATTTAGGCTCAGGTCATAATCTCACAGTTCATGAGATAGGGCCCCATGTTGGTCTCTCTGCTGACAGTGCACAGAACCAGCTTGGGATTCTCTCTCTCTCCCTCTGCCCTTCCCCCACTCGTGCCTCTCTCTCAAAATAAATAAATAAACATAAAAACAAAACGTCACTGTGAACTGACAGAACCTAAAACTAATGTAGGGTAAGTGGCAAAATGAGATCAAACTTTAATAAAAAACAGTATTTGGCTTTGTAAATTTTTTACGTTAACTAGTATACCTGTTACGTAACTAGTATACGTTAACAGGTATACCTGCTGCTCTTTAACTGCCAATGAAATAATTATTCTGGAAAACTTTCTTCCCTTTACTAAGTCCCCTCTACGGTTTAAGCTCATCTACCTTCTTTACCAACACAAAGGACCAATTAGGAAGATTATAAAAACTGAGGTTTTTGAGAACAATAAATGAGAGAATTAATCATGCACACTGTCTGAACTCTTCAAGAAATTATGGATTTTTATATAAGAAAGTAATTTCAAGAGTAATCTGGTCCATTTTCCTGGTTGTTCCGTAAATTATAGTCCTATGACATACTTAAGGGGGAGAAAAGGTTTCAATGGTCTGTTATACCTGCCAACTTTCTCCTTCCCTCACCCTTCACAAAATGCACAAAAAATATGCTATAAAGGCTGTTACAACCTCTGGTAAAGCCCACAAATGGTCTTTAATCTACTAATCTCATCTCTCCCCTCATTTTATCTGTAAATATGCCTCAGAACACCAGACAGGCAGCAATCTAGCCCTTCCATTCACGATTTACACTTAAGATATCTTTAGGGCTTTCACTTCATAAAAAACATCTGCTTTATGCATTATACTTAAAATGCCATCTATTAATTACTTTGTTCTCATTACAACTTAAAAGGTAAATCTGGTTTTTCAGCCATCCCAACACGATTTGTAATTCATCATTTTAAACTCATTTATCTTCTAGAAAACTTGACCTTTCTGTACATTGTTTATGGCTTAAAAGTACTTTTTAGGGGCTCCTGGATGGCTCAGCTGCTTTAGTGTCCGACTTCACCTCAAGTTGTGGGTTTGAGCCCCACATCAGGCTCTCTGCTGTCAGCCTGGGACCTGCTTTGGATCCTCTGTCTCCCTTTCTCTCTGCCCCTCCCCTGCTTGTGCTCTCTCTCTCAAAAATAAACATTTTTTTAAAAAGGTACTTTTTAAAGAAAAGGTACTTAATGAAAGTTTAATGCTTATCTTTTTAATAATGCTGAGATATATCCACCAATGCCCACTACTTTTGGTATAAAACAACAAAAATGGGGGCGCCTGGGTGGCTCAGTTAGTTAAG